CAACCCCACCACCACCACCACCACCATCATCACCATCCCCACAACCATCCCCACCACCATCATCACCATCACCATCACCACCATCCCCACCACCACCACCACCACCACCATCACAATCCGATAGCTCGTACACTCTGTCGTATTTATGGGACGCCCCAACGGGGCATTAATGTAGGGTAAGGGTAGGTAAGGCTAAGAGGTGCAACACGCACTCTACTGTAGAGAGACTTGTTTTTCTTTACTGCGTATACAAACATCCCAATGTGATTCTACTCTAAGTTTTTGACTGATAAAATTTTTCCCTCTTTTTATTCTGTCTTTTTTTTTCCATAAAGAGAATTTCACAGCACTAGAAGTAAAAAAATTAATTTTCTTTTTATGACAAAACGGCTTCAGTTAGATTTTTGATGAACTTTGCATTTCATTTGGATGTCACTGGTCATGGCTTAAACTGTATAAAGAGCGAGAAAGGCGGGCCATTACAGTGCGCAGTCTAAGATATTACAGTATAAATCTTTTTTTTTCCAGTCATCTTAGCCAACTTTATTCATCATGGTTGTTTGTAGTTATTGGTTTTTTTTTACAGATATCACATATTCATATATATAATAGTTAACAACGATCACAAAAATGTTTAAGTCGTCATCTCTTCGTCCTGAACCTGTGATCTGACTGTACAGCTAAAAAATATACATGTGCAATGACGAAGTGAGGAGCCATGTGAGTCAGGGAGCTTGGCCCCCGGGCAGCTTTCACTCACTACCAATATCTCCTCCCAGTGCCTCGCTGACTAACTCACAGAGGCATCACATCCACTAATACAGTATAAACGTTTAACACAAACATACTTCTGTAGGAAATCAGTGTAGTAACACCATTTAGAAGGCTTTTATTCCCACCAGCCCCCCCCCCTCCTTCCACTCCGCCCTTTCTCCATTTCTTACTTACTTTGCTACTTTTTCATCCTCTGTTGCAGTTAAACGTCGAGGAGAGCAGCAGTTTTCTATGGTAGGCCAACTCTGCAGTTCTTTCAACTGGGACGTTACAATTTCTCAGGGCTCCTTTGACAACCTCGATTCATCTCCTGCCTGGCCAACTTCGTTCCTTTATAGAATGTGTATTTGGTGTTATAGGCCCTCTAGGCTGTCTGGCGCTAGGTGGTGACGTTCGCATCAGGTGGCCAAACCCTTTCCATTCCGAATTCCGTGTCTTTCTATGAAATGCGGGCAGGACTTCGTATCAACAGGTAGCTCTCACGTCTTCGTTTCTCCGTTTGTCTCGTCTTGTCATGTTAAGGGGTCTTTTGGAGGCATTTATTTCATCCCGCTCGAAGTGACTCTACCTCCATGAGTTTTACAAAATGTCCAGGTCTGGCACTCATGGTAGCATAATGTTGGTATTAATATTGAAGTTCCTATTTCTTGAGTCTTAATAACCTTGCATGCATGTACGGTTCTGCTACTCCAAGCTTTGTTAAATGCTTTGCTCTGATGCGCCGTTATGCTTCGCCGTGTTTTGATGTGGGTGTGATTTGTTATAAGTAGATTTTGTAAGTAGATTTTGTAAGTAGATTTTGTAAGTAGATTTTGTAAGTAGATTTTGTAAGTTATAGTGTGATTATCATGGAAATGGTGTTGTGACGGTTGGGCTCTTCGGCGTGTCATGAAGAAGACGAGAGTTCGATTCTTTAGCGGATACGTTTGTTATCGAGTTCTCCCTCTGTCTGCTACAATGTTGTATCCTACTCATACCGGGTTGTCTTGTCCCTGACCAGCAGGGTCTATTTTGCCTACGTTCTAACTTGATTCAAATTGAGTTCACGAGAGAGTAAAAAACTGCTGGACTCACTCACACACTCACTCGCTCGCTCACTCACTCACTCACTCACTCACTCACTCACTCACTCACTCACGCACTCACTCACTCACTCACTCACTCACTCACTCACTCACTCACTCACTCACTCACA